TTAAGCATGAATATATCATATATTAATGTTTGCATATACTTCAAGTATCTCCCCAGGGGTAGGAGGAAGATTTATTTGTTCACTGTATATGCAACTTGAATCGTTTTAATCTCTGCATATATTGATACACATGTATATGCATGTGTATATGTATAGTAAGTTTAGAGTTTTTCAATAAGACAAACCTGGTTTTGAATCCTGACTGCACCGTTTAACTGCTGTGACCTTGAGCCAATAAATTTCTCTGAGCCTCCCATCCTTGTTTTAAAAATAAGGTTAATACCTATTCCTCTAAATGTGATTTTGAGGATTAGAAGAGGTATATACATTAAGCACTTAATGTACTATTAGTCATGACTATTGAATACAAGGTAGCCCCAGACCCACATTGATTCTGAATTAGTGTCCCCTAGACTTGAATATATTTTTTATGAATGTACTTTATGAATGCTTCGGTTTCTTTGCCTCTTTTCCCTCCTGCTGCTGCTGCTGCTAAGTCACTTCAGTCGTATCCGACTCTGTGTGAGCCCATAGATGGCAGCCCACCAGGCTCCCCTGTCCCTGGGATTCTCCAGGCAAGAACACTGGAGTGGGTTGCCATTTCCTTCTCCAATGTGTGAAAGTGAAAAGTGAAAGTGAAGTCGCTCAGTCGTGTCCGACTCTTAGCGACCCCGTGGACCGAAGCCTACCACGCGCCTCCATCCATGGGATTTTCCAGGCAAGAGTACTGGAGTGGGGTGCCATTGCCTTCTCCACTTTTCCCCGCTAGATAGTGCTTTCTTTGTTTGCCTGTTGGGATCATCAAATGACGGAGCTCATGGTGGCAATTTGAATTCAGGGCACGCATTTATGTGTTCATGTTTCTTGTCTGTGACCTTTCTAGGTTTCTTTCCAGATAAGTAGTCTGTCATCTTAAGACACGTAAGCTGAAACCAAGGTACTAGACCTTTTTCCCCCAAACAAAAAATATTTTTATTGCCATCTCCCTGCTTGATTGTAAGAAACAAAATACACCTACTTATCACAAAGGCCAAAGAAAGCAAAAACAGTAATTTGCAAGCTCACCCCCGGAGATCAATCTTACTTGCCTTTCTTGAGGGTTTATTATGCATCTTGGACTAGACTGAGCATTTAACATTTATTAGCTTACTTAATCCTTATAACAGTTCTTTATGGTAGGTGTTGTTATTAATCCCATTTTATAGAAGAAACTATGACAATATAACTTTCTCAAGATTTTATAGCTAAGTGGCAGAGCAGAATTTCAAACCCTGACCTGCTGAATATTCAAGTTCACGCTTGAATAGTGTGTCTTGTCTTTGCACAGTTTCCTTCACATCTGTCTCTGCACTTGTGCATGTACACATGTAGACATAAATTGTATCATAGTAACTGTCCTGTTTGGTAGCCTGCTTTTTTTCTCTCAACAAGATCTCATGAACATCTTTCCTTGTTTAAATACCTAGAGGTTTATTACCATTCTTAATGATTGCATAATTTCCCATTGTAGAGATATGTCATAATCTAACCAGTTCCTTATCAATGAGTGTTTAAGTGGTCAGAGATGCGACTGAGATAAACATAAAGGTGTATGTACATCTTGCACATGTATTCAGTTATTCACTGATGGTCTTAAAATAGTAGCAAGAAATGGAGTTGCTGTTTCAAGGGAGTATTACGTTTCAAGTATTGCATTTCAATGTTTATAAATAAATAAATAAATAAATATATATATATATATATATTGGCTGTACTGTGCGACATGCAGGATCTTAGTTCCCCAACCAGGGTTTGAATCCATGCCCCCTGCAGTGGATGTGTGGGATCTTAACCATTGGACTGTCATGAAAATCCCTTCAGTTTTTTTATATTGATTGCTCAAATGCCCTTAAATAATTTGTGCCGGTTTGAAATGCTGTGGCTCTTATATGTACTGTAACAGATAGTTTGAAAGTGTTTAGACAGAGCTCTCAACTGTTTGGCTTACAGAAAAAGATTCCCTTATGTTTATAAACCGTGCCCGTAATAACAGAATATATGTTATTAGTCTGTTATTTTGACATCTTTGTTCTGAATGCCTTTTATGGCTGAGGCTACACGACATGTAACATTGACATTAGAACATTAACGACTCCATGGCTGTAGACCTCATAGAAGTGCTTTTATGACACTTCCCCATGAAGTGAGAACAAGTATCTTTACTCCTAGGGCCCTTGTTCATCAGTTAAAACATTGTATTATGTTATATTCGTGGTGGTCAGTGAAAGTGGATAAATGAAAGGGGGAAAATGAGTTTTAACATCTGGATATAGTTTAGTTAATTTCACAAAAATTTCTCCCCTAATTTGATTTTAAGGCTGGGTGATATATTTACATGATTCAAGAGGTATAAAAGGATATACACTGTAAAGCCTTCCTTTGGCTCTTGGCCTTCAACTACCCAGCTCTTTTCCCTACAGGCAACCAGTGTTGTTATCTGGCTCTTGCGTATTCCTCCATATATATTTTATGTACATAGAGGCAGATAAAGAACTATTCTCCCAACACAGATTCCATGTCCTTTTAAAAGTTCTCCAGAGAGGGATATTATTTTTTCAATTGGAGATGAATAATCTTGTTTTGAAAATTGTGTAATTCCCATTTTGATAACTGGCCGTCATGGGAACCAGAGACTCAGAGTTGAGCTTGCTCTCTTGATGTTGGTTCAGGGATTGGCAAACAGGGAGTCCTGATCCTTCAGAACAATTAGTAGCAGTTGTGAAAGAGTCTGTTGATGGTGATGAGGTGGATACAGAGCAGAAACAGCTGCTTCCCCTGAGAGGAAGCTGCACAGGGACTTGGTTTGGGCTGGTTAATAGGGAGTCACTGTTATCTTCTTGTCTGAGTGTTGTGGTCCTTTTCTGCTGGCCTCTGTGATCTATGGCTTGGGCTGCCTTTACACTCTGAGTCCTTGAACTCCAGGCCAGGCAGTTGGCAGGTGTTTACCTGATCTGGTCTTAGAGAACACTGCATCGGAACGCATTCATTAAAGGTGTATTAGTATGCACGGTACCCCTCCTTGCAGGGCTGTTCCTAATGAATTGCCAGACCTTAATTTTTTTCCCATTTAAAGATACCACATGCTTGCTAGAGAAAATTTGGAAAATATAGAAAGCTTGAGGGAGTAGGGAAAATCTCCTATATGCAGTCCCATCTCACAGAGTGGACCACTACTGCTGTTTTGATGTGTGTCTTATTTTTATGCAATTGTGATTGCTTGTATTTAATTTTGTAAACTGCTTTTTCATTTATGCTAAGCACATTCCATGTCATTACAGAGCCTTGATAAGTGTCATTTAAAAAGATGGACTAGCATGACAAGGGCTCCCCAGGTGTCGCAGTGGTAAAGAATCCACCTACCATTGCAGGAGACACAGGAAATACAAAAGACACGGGTTTGATTCTTGGGTCAGGAAATCGCCCTGATGTAGGAAATTGCAACCTGCTCCAGTATTCTTGCCTGGAAAGCTCCATGGACAGAGGAGCCTGGCGGGGCGGGCTACAGTCCACTGGGTCGCAAAGAGTCGGACATGACTGAGCGTGCATACATAAATTTGGTCATAGACAGAGATGCCTACAGGAGCCAGGCAGGAAGTGTAAGTGAGCAAAGCATGCTAAGTGTGAGACAGTAGGAAGTGTGGGTTGGGGAGGACTGGGTGGCTGGGCCCATCATCGGGTGGCTGAGCTGTCATTCAGTTCCCATTGCCTTTCAGTTCCCTTGGGGCCTGGGCCAGGGGCTGTCAGGATATTCCCATTCTTCCAGAGAAGCAGAAAACCTGTTGTTTTAATGTGAAATTGCTGTTGGTTTTTTGCTTTAGTTTTATTTTGTTTTTTTACGGAAATCTTAAACATTCAGAGAATAATATAGGAAGCAGGATTGACAGTTGTTAATGTTTTCTCTTATTTGCTTCAAGCCTCATAACCTGTTTCTATTTGTTTTTAAGAGAAATGATAATGTATTACAGATAAAGTTGAAAAATTCTTCACATTTCTTGTTCCCTTCTCTACATTTCACTCTGTCCAGTTTTAGCAGGCATTATCATAAATTACTGTATATCCTTCTATTCCATTTTTGGGAATATTTACATATACATAAATGCAAATCCATGAACACCATATTGTTTTCTAATTTTTCAGTCATAATCATCATTCTCAGCTTGCTTTTTCACTCAGCCTATTTGTTTTCTTTCTTTCTTTTTTTATTTTTATTTTTTTTTCTTTCTTTTTTTTAAAAAAAAATTTATTTATTTGGCTGCGCCAGGTCTTAGTTGGCATGCGAGATCTTTATAGTTACAACATGTGGGATATAGTTTACTGACTACGGGTCAAACCTGTGCCCCCAGTGTTGGGAACACAGAGTTTTAGTTACTGGACCATGAGGAAAGTCTCAGCCTGTTTATTTATTAATGTAAATATATGTAACTAATTCAGGGTTGACAGACTTTTTCTATGAAAGATCAGGATTTTAGGTTTTGTGGGCCACACTGTCTGCTACAGCTACTCAGCTCTGCTATTTTATAGCTAATGTAGCCATATATAATATGTAAGCAAAGGGATATGGCTGTGTTCCAATAAAACTTTATTTACAAAAACTGGCTGTGGGCTGGATTTGGCCTGGAGACTGTCATTTGCTGACTCCTGCTCCAATTTATTCCTTTTAAATACTGAATAGTATACTCTCTGTAGCATGAATGTACCATCTTTTATTTTTCAGTTCCTCTATAAATGGATGATTAGGTTTCCAGTTTTCTACTATTTTAGCAATGCTGCAGGAAGCATCCTTTTCCGTGTTTCCTTGTACGTATGTGCAAAGGTTTTTCACCAGGGCATATACAGATATAGAGGTAGAAATGCTGGGGGGTTTGTTTTGTTTTGTTTTTTTAAACAACGGTTGGGCCAAATAAAAATGGCTTCAGGTAGAATGTGACCAGTTTGTGACCTCTGTTCTAGAATCTCTATAGGAAGCCACTGGTTACTGATAATCCAAATCCACACCTAGTTCTAGAATTTGTTGTGGACTCCTTGACAGCACATGTGAGAATGGGTGAATCCAAACAAGAAAGATTCTGGAAGAGAGTGGTTGCCCTGAGAAATGTGCAACTGATTTCCTCAGCAGACAAAAGAGATGAAGTTGGACAAAGACTCAATCTTTCACATGTAGTAGCCATTCTAATGGTGGTTGTTAACAATGGGATGACAAGTTCAAGCAGAAGAGGTGTTCGGGATAAAGATGCTGAGCTGCTGACCTGTGGTTTCTCCTTTCCTGGCAATGCTGTGAGTTCCTTTAAAGATTTATCACTGTAATTAGACAGACCAGAAGAAGGAGGAGGAAGGTAATAAAGACTATCAGGGCATCCTTCCAAGAAAACCCTCTCCTTTGAGGAGGACCCACAGCAAGATTTTAAGCTCTGGTGGCAGGAAATTAAATTAGTCCATCTTCCTGAAGTAATATGTCAGTAATACATGACTAGTTCAGCCAAGCTCAGTGAGTTCAGAAAAGAAATGATGTTCTGTGTTCCAAGTAAAGGAGATTTAATTAAGTGGACTCAGACTTTGGGAATTCCTTCTTTTTAAAAGCTTTTCAAGGTTACTGTGGGTCATTATCATTCCTTTGTTTTTATTGTTTTGGAGAACTCAAAAATATACAGGGCTGTAACAGAAGCAGCTGAACATCAAGATCTGCATGAAAGCCTGGTGCAGGCTTTTTAGTTTTATTAGAGAGGCTTGGGGTCACATTGCTTTCATAGGTAAAACCTCTCCCCGGGTATGAAATGCAGAAGAATCGATCCTCTCCAGTGACCTGTTCCCCATCCACCTCTTCTGTTTCTTATTCCTTGGAGTCTCAGGTCTTGTCTAACCATCCCATGTACTACAGCAGAGACCTCCCCAAAGGAAGCTCTGGGGCCTGGGCTTCACCCAGAGAGCTTTTGGCAGGCCTCTGTTGAAGTGGAGGGAGAGTCAGGCAAGGGGTCAGCCATAGCTATAGCTTGGGGGCCATTCCCCTAGACAAGAAAAGGAGATGCAGCAACCTGGCCATTCTGATATCTGATTCTAAGTATCCGGCAAAATTCTAGTAGCTTCTAGAAGGTTATGAATGAAGGGCTGCCTTTTACATAGTTTTCTTTAAATGACTTGATATTTACTTTTAATTGAACATTCCCTGGAGAAGGAAATTGCAGCCCACTGCAGTTTTCTTGCCTGGAGAATCCCATGGACAGAGGAGCGTGGCAGGCTACTGTCCATGGGGTCGTAAGAGTTAGACACAACTTAGCGACTAAACCACAAACCACCACAGTTGAACACTGATTAGGTATTTGGATCTCAATTTGAACTGATTTTTTTTTTAAGGATGATAACTACGAATTGAACAGGAGAAACTATTAGTCTAGTGATATTTTTTTTCTTTTTTCTTTTTTTTCATTTATTTTTATTAGTTGGAGGCTAATTACTTCACAACATTTCAGTGGGTTTTGTCATACATTGACATGAATCAGCCATGGAGTTACATGTATTCCCCATCCCGATCCCCCCTCCCACCTCCCTCTCCACCCGATTCCTCTGGGTCTTCCCAGTGCACCAGCCCCGAGCACTTGTCTCATGCATCCCACCTGGGCTGGTGATCTGTTTCACTATAGATAATATACATGCTGTTCTCTCGAAACATCCCACCCTCGCCTTCTCCCACAGAGTCCAAAAGTCTGTTCTGTACATCTGTGTGTCTTTTTCTGTTTTGCATATAGGGTTATCATTACCATCTTTCTAAATTCCATATATATGTGTTAGTATGCTGTAATGTTCTTTATCTTTCTGGCTTACTTCACTCTGTATAATGGGCTCCAGTTTCATCCATCTCATTAGAGCTGATTCAAATGAATTATTTTTAACAGCTGAGTAATATTCCATGGTGTAGTCTAGTGATATTTAATGCATAAAATTAGGCTTCCCTGGTGGCTCAGCAATAAGGGATCCACCTGCAGTGTTGGAGACTGCCTGCAATGCTCTAGACACGGGTTCAATTCCTGGGTCGGGAGGATCCCTGGAAGAAGGAAATAGCAACCCACTCCAGTTTTCTTGCCTGGAAAATCTCATGGACAGAAGAGCCTGGTGGGCTATAGTCCATGGGGTCACCAGAGTGGGACACAACTTAATGACTAAACCACCACCATCACCACCAGTAATCTTCAGAATGACCCTTTGACAAAGGTTTTGGATGCAGTTGTTTTAACTTTTTTTTCTTTTTTGGCCATGCTGTCGCATGTGAGCAAAAGTTCCCCCACCAAGGATTGAACCTGTACTGTCTGCAGTGGAAGTATTGAGTCTTAACCTCTGGACTGCCAGGGAAGTCCCTATATTAGTTAATTTTAATCTGACTTTATTTTAGTTCACAAAGTATTTCCACGTTTATAAGTAACTGTTAGTCTGACAATCATCCAAAATGAAGGAGAATTATCCCTGTTTTACAGATCTTACAAAAACACTGATGCAGGGAGGCTAAGAGGTCTTGTGGTTATTCATTCTTAGAGAACATTATTTTATTACATATAACAATTGGAAGAATTATGAAAAGTAGCTTCTCATGTTTCCATGTGCTTACTTACCGACAGAACAATTTTTTATGAAAGATCAATGAAGGAACATAACAACTCTGTGTTTATTAATTGGCAGCATATATGCCTAGAATGACTCATCACGGCTATACATTTTTCCACCTTTTGTTGGCAAGGTATAGGTCAGTCTCACAACTCAATGAATACTGTAATTCGTGTTCTAAGTATCTATCAAAATTACAAATGCATATATCCTGTGATCCAGATAGATTTTTTTTCCCATACATGAAAGGATGTGGTCCTAGGTTTTTCATAGTAAAATATCAGAAACAGCTTAAGTGCTAGGGTAGTGGTTAAATAAATTACAGTGCCTCCATACAGAGGGATGTTTTACTGCTGTCATAAAGAATAGAGCAGCTCTGAATTTACTGAGGGGAACAAACTCCAAGATAGGTTGTTAAGTAAAAGCAAGCTGCAGGACACTGCGTATTGTGTATTACATACTATACTTGTGTAAAAAAAGAGAGGATAAGTGTGCATTAATACATATGAGCTTGCTATGCATAAACTTATTCAGGAAGATTAAAAATCTAATAATACTTGCCTTGTAAGCAGGGAAGTGGTTGGCTGGAGAACAGGTAAGGGAGAGGGACCTGTCAGCAAAGGACCTTTTGAATCAAGAATCATGTGAATTACCTGTTTATTTTTAATTTTAAAAATGTATATATTTTAAAATAATTTTTATTTTAAAAATAATTTTGTCTGTTTACTTATTTTTGGCTGTGCTGGGTCTTTGTTGCCGCGAGCACAGCCATCTCATGGTGGTAGCATCTCTCGTTGTGGAGCACAGGCTCTAGGCTCATGGACTTCGGTAGTTGAAGCTCATAGGGCTCAGCAGTTGTGGCTTGCAGGCCCTAGAGCGTGGGCTCAGTAGTTGTGGCATATGGGCTTCGTTGCTCTGTGGCATGTGGAATCTTCCCAGACCAGCGATCAAACCCGTGTCCCCTGCATTGGCAGGCAGATTCTTATCCATTGCGCCACCAGGGAAGTCAGAATTATCTGTTTTTTTAAAAACCCTTGGTTTGAGGTTTTGGGGAGTTTAACCTCATCATATGTATCTCTTTGCTCTAATTTGCTTGCTCCCTCCCCCTTCCCAAAGAACCCATTTAAACATCCTTTCTTCTGCTCCATGAGTTTTTAGCACCAAAGGAAGTTCTTTTTTGTTTTTACTTAAAAATTTCTTAACATCTATTTTCTTATTTGCACTCAAATTTTTAAAAATTTATTGACTGGATAAGTGCTTTCTTTGTAATGCATTACCCCACATCCTTGTTTATTTGAACACATTTTGCACAAGCCATAGTTGATTTTCGAATGGAAAAGTATTATCAGTACAAGATAGGAAATTCAAACAGTACTAATGAGTGTATAGGGAAAAGTTTTTTTTTTCTTTCTCTAGACCTCTGAGTGTCCTCTGGGCCCATAGTTCCCCTCCCGAGGTTGCCACTGTTACCACTTTTACATGTATGCTTCTAATATTGTAGCATGCATATGTAAACTGTGCTATAGATAATATTCCTTGTCCAGGTTTTTTCACTTAACAGCATATCTTGGTTTAGGATTATGTTTAGATTAGCACATTTTTTTAGCAACTGCACAGGATTCCACTGTATATATTAAATTTATTTCATCAGCCCCCTCTTGATGGGAATTGGGGTTGTCCACAATCTATTGCTACCACAGATGATGCCAAAACAGATATCCTTCTATCTGAAGGATAAATTCTTGGAAATACAACTGCTAGATCAGAGGGGCTTTGCATTTTAAATTTAGATAGATAGCTCCAAATGGCTCTATGCAGAGGTTATGGTAGTTCCACAGCATATAAGGTTACTTGGGCTTTTGTAAAGCTTCCAGCCACCTCAACCTGTAGTATAGGATAAAATATACGTTGAAGAGTAGACAAGCTAGTTAACACTGTTGGTGGAATAGTGTTTTTATTCTTCCCTCTTCAACTGGTTAAGCTCCCATGAGGAAATAGCCATTTGTAGTGGTTATTAAGTATGGCTGTCAGACGGTTGGCTAGATGGAGGTGACCTGGGTGTGTAATCAGTCCCCAGTGACAACTATACTGTCTGCTTACTTTTTTTTTCCCCCCCTCCCCCTAGGACCCTAGCATCCTGAGATATTTTTGGATTCATAGCCCTTAAGAGTGACCTGGACGAAGGTCATCATGTCAAAGCTGAAAAGCTCAGAATCAGTCCGGGTGGTGGTTCGCTGTCGGCCCATGAATGGCAAGGAAAAGGCTGCTTCATATGACAAGGTGGTGGATGTGGACGTGAAGCTAGGGCAGGTGTCTGTCAAGAACCCCAAGGGAGTGGCCCATGAAATGCCCAAGACCTTCACTTTTGATGCCGTCTATGACTGGAACGCCAAACAGTTTGAACTCTATGATGAGACCTTCCGACCGCTGGTGGACTCTGTCCTTCAGGGTTTCAATGGGACAATTTTTGCCTATGGACAGACAGGGACTGGGAAAACCTACACGATGGAAGGAGTCCGGGGTGACCCTGAAAAAAGAGGGGTCATCCCTAACTCATTTGATCACATCTTCACCCATATCTCTCGATCCCAGAATCAACAGTACTTGGTCAGGGCTTCTTACTTGGAGATCTACCAGGAGGAGATCCGAGACCTGCTCTCCAAGGATCAGACCAAAAGGCTCGAGCTCAAGGAGAGGCCTGACACCGGGGTGTACGTGAAAGACCTGTCTTCCTTCGTTACCAAGAGCGTGAAGGAAATAGAGCATGTGATGAACGTGGGGAACCAGAACCGTTCTGTTGGGGCCACCAACATGAATGAGCACAGTTCCCGTTCACATGCAATTTTTGTCATCACCATCGAATGCAGTGAGGTGGGCCTCGACGGTGAAAACCACATCCGGGTTGGGAAACTGAACCTTGTAGATCTTGCTGGCAGTGAACGGCAGGCCAAGACCGGTGCGCAAGGGGAAAGACTGAAGGAAGCAACCAAGATCAACCTGTCCCTTTCGGCCTTGGGTAATGTCATTTCTGCCCTGGTGGATGGAAAAAGCACTCATATTCCATATCGGGACTCCAAGCTTACCAGGCTCCTCCAGGATTCTCTTGGTGGTAATGCTAAAACTGTGATGGTGGCCAACGTGGGACCTGCCTCTTACAATGTAGAAGAGACCCTAACCACTCTAAGATATGCCAACCGTGCCAAAAACATTAAGAACAAGCCAAGGGTCAACGAGGACCCTAAGGACGCCCTTCTTCGAGAATTCCAGGAAGAGATTGCTCGGCTCAAGGCCCAGTTAGAGAAACGGTCCATTGGCAGAAGGAAGAGGCGAGAGAAGCGGAGGGGGGCTGGGGGTGGGGAAGAGGAGGAGGAGGAGGGAGAAGAGGGGGAGGAGGAAGGGGATGACAAGGATGATTATTGGCGGGAACAGCAAGAGAAACTGGAGATCGAGAAGCGGGCCATTGTTGAGGACCACAGCTTGGTTGCAGAGGAAAAGAAGAGGCTGCTGAAGGAGAAGGAGAAAAAGATGGAGGATCTGCGACGGGAGAAGGATGCTGCTGAGGTGCTCGGGGCCAAAATCAAGGTACTGTACCCTGCCTTAGGCCCCTTCTTTTTTCTTTCTAATTTTCTTGTTTTATCAAAAAAAATGATATGAGGAATGATGTTGATATTCAGTGCCCAGGGGCTTCCCTAGTTAGTAACTCAACTGGTAAAGAATCTGCCTGCAATATAGGAGATCCTGGGTTGATTCCTGGGTCAAGAAGATCCCCTGGAGAAGGGATAGGCCACCCACTCCAGTATTCATGGGTTTACCTGGTGGCTCAGACGGTAAAGAATCCACCTGCAATGCAGGAGACCTGGGTTCAATCCTTGGGTTGGGAAGATTCCCTGGAGGAGGGCATGGCAACCTATTCCAGTATTCTTGCCTGGAGAATCTTTGACAATAATATCCATGTACCCCCCTCCCTCCCCCAGTATAAGAAACAGAATAGCATCTGTATCTTTACAAGCTCTTTGTGCCCCTACCTCCCCAGAGGTAACTGTTACCTTGGATTTGGTATTCTTTCTTTGCTTTTCTTTATAGTTTACCCAAATGTGTATATATGTGTATATATCTCTCTACATGAGAGATCATTTTGTGCATGCTCAGTCACTTCAGTCATGTCTGACTCTGTGTGACCCTATGGACTGTAGCCCACCCAGCTTCTCTGTCCATGGGATTCTTCAGGCAGGAATACTGGAGTGGGTTGCTGTGCCTTCCTCCAGGGGATCTTCCTGGCCCAGGGATTGAACCCAGATCTCCTGCATCTCCTGAATTGCAGGCAGATTCTTTACTCACTAAGCCACCTGGGAAGCCCCCAAAGATCTTTTTACGAGACCAGTGCTCTAACCCCTGAGCTATGGAGCCCCCCAAAGATCTTTTTAGTTTCACATAATTTTTAACTTTCGTATCAATTGAGTCCCACTGCTGTGATCTACTTTTATTTGCTAAATGTTATGTTAATGAAATTTATCCATTTTGATGCTTAGAACTGTGATTTATTCTTACTGCCCTGAGATTTCCATGGCATGCCATTCTCTTGATAGTGTGGGTTGTTTTAGTTTTCTTGCCCTGAATTCCTTGTCCTTGACTTGAGGAGAGCTTGTGTGAGTGAAAGTTTCTTGCTTGATATCATCAGGTCTTAGGGTGTGTATAGCTTCAACTTCACCAGACAACAACACGTAGCTTTCTCACATGGTCATGTGTGTGGATGCTCCTACCAGGGGGGTGTGAGTCCTGGTTGTTCCCTATCCTTACCAACACTTGTGATTAGCAGACTTGAATTTTTGTCTGTCTGGTAGGTAAACAATGTTGTCTGCTTGTGGTTTTCATATGCAGGGTGCCTGATTAAGCAAAATCACCCCTGGGTGCTCCCTTGCAGTCAGGCCCTGTGTGCCAGTGGCTGAGTAGAATTCTAGAGTGTGGAGGTGCCTGTGTGTTGCCTGTTCTTTCTGGCACCAATTCCTTCGGGTGCCTGGATGCTGGGCCGCCAAAGGGCTTTCCTGGCAGAGGAGAGCACAGCACTGGCTATGGAAAACCGAGGATGACCACTGCTTGACAACACGCCAGAATTTCCTCGAAGCATTGGGTCTGTCTTGTTGTGTTTATGCAAACTTTGATTTCTACTCTAAAACGTGTCTGTGTTTATTAATTTTTTAAAAAATGACAAAATGATCTCTTTCCTGCCTCCCCTTCCCTCACCGTGTGAAGCTGTACTTTATCTGTGGCATCATAGTAGCTCGTTCAGAGATCTGGGTCCTGTTTGATTTCAGAGGTAGGGATTCTTTGTAGGACTCTCAAGACCTGATGTGAAAATGGAGTCACATACAACACAATTAGGAAGTAACTGTGTTCTGGGGAGGGGCTTACTATGGGGTTCTGTTATGTCACTTGACCCTTCCTGACTCCTGCCCTGTGTAACTGGGTATGCTTGTGTTTGATCTGCATGTGGTATTTTTAAAGATCACAGCTTTTATTCAAGCCCAGGAGCACCTAGACTCTAAACAACCTGGGGTAGTTGGGCAACTCTCAGAAGCCGAGTGTGGCCAGACTCAGATCACCTCCAGGTCACTGGACCTCTTTACATGTTTTATTTATGGGAGAATGACATGACATCTGTCTTTCTCAGTCCCTGAATGATATACAGTCCTAGGACAAAAGAATTTTAGAGCTGGAAGGGAGTGTGTTGGGGGTGGTGATTAGTAATCAGTCCAGTCTTTTCGTTTTGAAAGAAGAGGAACGTCTCAGGGGTTGAAACATGACAGCCAGGGTAGAAGTTTCTTTAAAGCAAGGTTGCGGAGTTTTCGGAGTCCATGCTTCTCAGGTGCAAATCATTCCCCTGGCTTCAGCCCTCATCTAAATGCTGAAGGTTTTCAGTCTGTATGGTTAGCCCAGAGCTGTCTCCTAACATCCCAGCTGATAGCCTCTGCCTGCTGGCTGTTTCCTCGGAGATGCCCAGGGCCATGCAGAGCCTGCTTCAGCCTGCCTTTCCTCAGTCTAGCCAGACTCCTAGGAGTTGTCATTGCCAGCTGCCACTCACTCTCCCTCAGTCTCTGAATCCTGCCTCTCTTGGACCCATCCACTTTGCTCTCCCAACCTCTCCTGCCCCAGCTCAGGCCTGGAACCTTAAAACAGGCTCCTGTCTGCTCTCACTCCACCCAGCCTGCCCTTTTCCAGTTATTCTTCCTGTTGCAGGGGAGTTTTGTTTCTAAAACACAGATCTGGTTATGTATCCTAATGCTCAAAGGACACGTCAGTGGTTCCTGCAGTTCTCAGGGTCAAGCTTAGTCTCCCTTAACAAGGCTTGGAGGTTTTTGAACTACCCCCTGATTGCTTTGCCAACTTCATGTATCACCACTCTGTACCCTACCCTCTGAAAACAACTTTTTTTTCTTAGCTGTTTCCCATTTTCACTTTAGCACTCTTGTAGCTGTCCCTTGAGACAGGAAGCTTTTTCCCTGACTGCCTTCGGGAAAAGCCTGAATTCCCCCCTTCCCCTGTGCTTCTCCCGGTGTCACTCTGTCTTTTCCTCATGCTAAGATCTGACTCCATCTGATAAGAACTTGCTTACCTGTGGCGCTCCATGGACTCTCAGCTTTTGACTCATATTCATAGTGGCATCCCCAGTTCCTAGCATGTAGGAGGTGCTTAATAGGTTCTAACTGAGGTCAGTACTTCATACAAACAAACCAAAAATTTTCTTTAAAAAATAAAGCTGAAATTCACATATGTCTAGGGAAGCTGTGTCTTCAGTATTTCCATTATAAAGCCCTAGTGAAGCCGCCAAAGCTCCACCCCAGTGATGGGAAAGGCCCAGCTGAGCACAGTATATTTTCTCCAAGAATTTACCTGCTTTGGCTTGGTCCGGAGCTCTTTGTCTTTCATAGGCTTCCCTGTGAGGAGCTATGTTCTGAGTGAGACCACTCACGACATGGATTCTGCTCTTTTCTCATAAAGGCCATGGAGAGTAAGCTGCTCGTTGGAGGAAAAAATATAGTAGATCATACAAATGAACAGCAGAAAATCCTGGAGCAGAAACGGCAAGAAATTGCAGAACAGGTAACTTGTCATTCCTTTTTGGAGAGAATGGAGTGGGGTGGGGTGTGTTAATGCTACAGAGCACACATCTTTTCTATTAGACTCTTCAAAGGTGATGGAAAGGACGTGTGTCAGCCCCTTCTTGGTGGGAGACTCATCTAGCGCACCCAGCCCATATTCTTGAATAGACATTGTCTGTAGGCACACTGATCCGTTTTGTGACATTGCTCAGAAACGTCGAGAAAGAGAAATCCAGCAGCAGATGGAAAGCCGGGACGAGGAGACCTTGGAACTGAAGGAGACGTACAGCTCACTGCAGCAAGAGGTGGACATCAAGACCAAGAAACTCAAGAAGGTAGGAAAGGAGTGAGGCAGGCAGAGGCTCCGTGAGGCGTGGGACAGAGAGTGAACTCTATTGTCTAGAGGGCCGCCCGCTTAGCCGCCTCTCCTGTTGTTTCCAGCTCTTCTCTAAGCTTCAGGCAGTCAAGGCAGAGATCCATGACCTCCAAGAAGAGCATATCAAGGAGCGACAGGAGCTGGAGCAGACCCAGAATGAGCTTACCAGGGAGCTGAAACTCAAGTAAGTCCTGGACCTTCCAGGGCGTCCCAGCCATTTGCTGCGCTGTTATTTGTTAAACCCGTCAGAAGACAGGGCCCCTGCCTACTTCTCTCCATCTCTCGCCACCTTGTCTGTCTTCTGTTTATTTCTAAGAAAGTTATTTTCTGTCTCTGCATCCCATCTGTTAACTGCATATCTTCACCAGATGATCTCCAAGTTCCTCCCACTCTGCCTTCCTGAAGCCATTATCTATTGATGAAAGGGAATCTTTTATTAATTAGAATTTTCTGAATGGTATAAGGAACACCCAGATACCCATTGCCCAGTGGTGGTGGTGGTTTAATCACTAAGTCATGTCTGACTCTTGTGATCCCATGGACTATAGCCTGCAAGGCTTCTCTGTCCATGGGATTTCCCAGGCAGGAAGGCAGGACCACTGGAGTGGGTTGCCATTTCTTTCTCCAGGGGATCTTCCTGACCCAGGGGTCGAACCCAAGTTTCCTGCATTGCAGGCGAATTCTTTACTGCTGAGCTACCAGGAAAGCCCAAGATGCCATGATAAACAGTCTTTTGTCCTCTATCTTTCATAGTTTGCTTGCTTTTGGTTTTTTTGTTTGTGTTTTTTTAGGGGGGTGGGCTGCGCCATGTAGCGTGCAGAATCTTATTTCCCCCACCAGGGATTGAACCCATGCCCCCTTCAGTGAAAGCACAGAACTTAACCCTCATAAAAATATTTTAAAGCAAAACTTACATCATGTTACCTCATTCCTACATACTTACATATGTACCACAGTGTTGTTTTTGTTTTTTTTTTAGGAAAATCTTTATTGAGATATAATTCACATACCATACAATTCACCTATTTAAAGTATACAAGGTACAAGTCAATTTTGTTTTTTGGCTGCACAACTTGGGGAATTTGTTCCCTCACCGAGGATTGAACCTGGGCCACAGCAGTGAAAGCCCGGGATCCTAACCATTAGGTGACTAGGGAACTCCCCTACAAGTCATGTAAATATGTATGTATATGTTTACTTGACTGTAAAGTCAACACTACAGTCTAATTTTAGAAGATTTGTGTGTGCCTTCACCCAAAGAAAATGTGTACCAATTGTGAGTCACTCCTTATTTTCTCCTCCCCCAGCCTTATAAGTAACTGATCTACTTTCTGACTCTGTAAATTAACCTATTCTGGACCTTTCATATACATGGAATTATATAGTATGTGGTCTTTTGTGACTGGTTTCTTTCAATTAACATGTTTTCAGGAGTTATCCGTGTTGCAGCATGTTAGCACTTCATTTTTTAGAGCGGAACCATATTATATGAATATTCCACATTTTATTTATCCATTAATCAGTTGATGGACATTTGGGTTGTTTCTACTTTTCAGCTATAGTTAATAATGCTGCTATGAACATTTGTGTCCAAGTTTAATTGTGGACTTAACATTTTTAGTTCTCTTAGGTTATCCAACAGTCTTACGGATTGAGGTCTTACATTTAGTCTATGATCCATTTTGAGTTAATTTCTTATATGGTCTGAAGTATGATTCCAAATACTTTCTTTTGCATGTGGATATTCAGTTGTCCCAGCACCTTTTGTTGAAAAGTGTCTTCTCTCTTTGTCTTTTTATCCTTGTTGAAAATCAGTTGACCATAATTGTAAAGGTTTATTTCTGTACCCTCAGTACTATTCTGTTGAACTATATGTCTATCATTATGCCAGTATGACACTGTCTTATTTACTGTAGTTTTGTAGTAAGTTTTGAAATGAGAAAATATGAGTGCTCCAATATTTTGTTCTTTTTCAAGATTCTTTTGGCTATTCAGGGTCTTGTGTATTTCCATATAAATTTTAAGATCAGCTTCTCAATTTCTGCAAAAAAAAAAGCAGTTGAGATTTTGATTGGAATTGTATTGACTCTATAGATCAATTTGGAGAGTATTGTTATCTTAACAGTATTAAGTATGCTGACCCATGAACATGGGATGTCTTTCCATTTATTTAAATCTTCTTTAATTTCTGTCATAAATGTTTGTATTTTTCATTGCATAGTCTTTGCACTTCTTTTGTTAAATTTATACCTAAGTATTTTATTTTTTTGATGTTATCATATAAGGAATTGTTTTCTTAATTTTATTTTCAGAATGTTTATTCTGAAGCTACTGTGTCAAAATTAAAATTGATTTTTGTGGATGTAATGATATATTTTCACCTAACAAAATTAACATTGTTTCTTAGTATTCTCTCATACCCTACCCCTATTTGGATTTTCTTGTTTTATTTATATTAAGATCTACATAAGGACTATATATTGCATTTAGTTATTATGTCTGTTAAGCTTATTTTAATCTGGAGCAACCCCTTTCCTTTTTAGAAACTTGTTTTCATAGTTGTCTTGTTGAAAAGGCTGGGGCAGTTAGCCTAGAGAAATATACCACGTTCTGGATTTGTCAGTCTGCTGCTTCTTCATGGTGTCATTTAGCTTGCGTCCCTATCTTCCTTATTTTCCTGTAACTGAAGGTGAACTCTGAAGGACTGGTTCTTAACCTTGATTACACACATAAATCATTGGGGGAGTTTTTAAAAATAGTGACACTTGGGTCCTACCCAAGAGATTCTGATTTCACTCGTCTAGGTAGTGGTCCTTAAATTTTCAGCAGGTACCAGTTCATCTGAAGGGCTTGTTAAACGTGGATCACTGGGCCCCACATCCAGAGAATCTGATTCAGCACATCTGGGGTGGGGCCTGAACATTTGCATTCACAAGTACCAGCTGTTGTTTTTCCTGGTTTATGAGCACACTTTGAGAATCACTGATCACAAGGGCTGACTAAGATATTGTAAGTGATACTGATGTGCAGTCTGGCTTGAGAACCACTGAGCTAATGGTTTCAGCCAACAGTGATCTTTGTGTAACTCCATTATTTCATTAGGGGTTTTGCAAATTAAAAAATTTTTTTTAAATATCAACTCTTTCACTTCATTTGCTCAAAGTTTTCTTTAAAGAGGAACTTTTCATTGAGAAAGAAATGGCAGTCCACTCCAGTATTCTTGCCTGGGAAATCCTGTGGACAGAGGAGCCTGGTGGGCTACAGTTCATGGGGTCGCAAAGAATCAGACACAACTTAGCAACTAAACACAACTGCAGCAACAAAGACCCAGTGCAGCCAAAAATAAATAAATAGAATAATAAAAAAAGAACTTTTCAAAGAGATTCTTTTAATGATTAAGTTGCAAATTTGGAAAGGAGCCCTTAAAATTAAATATATGTGTTAGTTCTCTTGCTAGGCATGTACACCTAGAAAAGGTCAGAACAAAATATGTCAAAATATCTATCTCTGAGTACTGAAATTGTGTGTAATTGTATGTCTCACGTTTTCTTTTCTTTAAAAAAAATTTTATTTTGGCCCTGCATAGAATGTAGGTTCTTAGTTCCCTGACCAGTGATCGAACCTGCACCCCCTGCATTGGGAGGTCAGAGTGTTAACCACTTCACCACCAGGAAAGTCTCACATTTTCTAATGTATAAATAAGATCTTTAAAATCAGAAAAAAAAGAAACTGAAATATATGAAAAATCATTTCTTATATAGTCAAAGAGAAAATGTCATCTCTTCAAATTATTTTTTTTTAAGGAAGTCATTTTCATTGTTCTCTCTCTTATTCATATCTACTGAATAAACAGCAAGCCAGCCTGTTTCTCATAGTCCCCTCGACCTCTGTGGAGTTTGTTCTGTCTGTCTCCCACGTTCACCCCCTGTTGGCATTGTTCTGTCCTGAGGCCTGGAAGGAGTACGCTCAGAGAGGGGCAGGAAATAGTCATCACCATGGAGAGACACAGCTCAGCGGGCTCCAGTTTCATTGTCTGCCGTGTTCCCTGGGTGCGTCTCAGGCAGAGACTCTTCTCAGGAATGGTCTTCATTCGCAGGGGTCTAAGGGGCTGAAATTCATCTTGTTCTCCTCTTTGTTCTGGTGATTAGAATGTGGAGTTTTCCACCTTGGGCAACAGTCCGTAGAACTGGAGGAAGGCATTTGAAATTGTAATCTGTTTTCAGCATTTTGGAAATTAAGGAGCAGGTTTAGCAGTTCCAGTGGCCCTCCCCCAAGTACTTAGCACAAGTTCACTGCAGCATAGCCCAGGCATTGCCTTCCTCTTTATTTTTAAAAATTATTTATTTATTTGCCTCAAAAACTGGGATCTTAGTTCCCCGACATCAAATCCAGGCACCTTGCATTGGAAGTGTGGAGTCTTAGCCACTGGACCACCAGGGAAGTCCCTCCCTTCCTCTTTAGTCCTTCCACCTCCTCAAGCTGCTACTCCTTGGGGATAAGTGACCTTTCCATATGCCTTCGATAGCTGCTACTAAGTCGCTCTAGTCGTGTCCGACTCTGTGTGACCCCATAAGATGTGTGACCCCATAAGATGGCAGCCCACCAGGCTTCCCCGTCCCTGGAGTTCTCAGGCAAGAACTCTGGAGTGGGTTGCCGTTTCCTTCTCCAATGCATGAAAGTGAAAAGTGAAAGTGAAGCCGCTCAGTCATGTTTGACTCTTAGTGACCCCATAGACTGCAGCCTACCAGGCTCCTCTGTCCATGGGATTTTCCAGGCAAGAGTACTGGAGTGGGTTGCCATTGCCTTCTCCATTCCTATGATAGACCTGTCAGCATACCTGAGTGTTTCTCTGTCTCAAGCAGGGGCCAGTGTCATTCATGTCTGTACCCCAGCTCCTAGTATGGTGGTAGTCCCGTTGTACCTGCTCAGTAGATACAGTTGAGTGACTTGGCCTTTACCTATCACTTGCTTCATGTGGGACCAGATAGCCAGCACCCCATTCTTGTTCTCTGTCCATCTATTCACCTGCGTATGTGTACTCTTACAGGCATCTTATTATAGAAAACTTCATTCCTCTGGAAGAAAAAAGTAAAATTATGAATAGATCCTTCTTCGATGAAGAGGAAGATCATTGGAAATTACATCCTATAACCAGACTGGAGTAAGTCACTATTGACTTGTAATGTGGGAATAGGGTGGGGTGGAATGTTGATAAGCCGGACTTGGCCAGAGGAGAATGGTAAAATGCAGTCTGATTCCTTTAAACTCGGAACCAATTGCAGCTGTGACTTTGTGGCTGCTGTAAGTTCATGAGGGAAACGTTTGGTGACGAGTGTGGTATTAGGAATCGGGAAACATTATCATAGTGAACTAATGGCCTTTCCCAAGTTCCTGCTCTTCAGCTTCCCCAGATGTCCAGTAAAGTGTGCCAGGCCAAGGGAGGGGCAATACATAGGTGTTATCTTATCTGTCAGTCTGACTGTGGAGGATTCTCAGTCTCTGGGTCCTGCTGGAAAGATGAGAGAAGTCTGCCAAGGATGTGGGAGTGGGGACTGTGGACAGCTCAGCTTCATGCCTGCTATCTAAGAACGGGATGATGACTCAGAGCCCGTCCAGCTTGAAAGATGCGTGATGCTCACACATGAATCAGAAAGCAGTTAAAGCAGAAAATATAAGCGGCTCCCGCCCCATTTACATGTCAGCCTTCAGTCCAGGGAGTTTCCCATTTCAGGTTCTACCTAAAGGAGGCTCAGAATTTTCTGAGTGCTGGTTCCACAGTCCCAACCCTGGGACTGTGGCACACACTCTGGCCTGGGTCTTGAGCACACAGTCCATTTCCAGGAACCAGCAGATGATGAAACGGCCAGTCTCAGCTGTGGGATACAGGAGACCATTGAGCCAGCACGCAAGAATGTCCATGATGGTTCGTCCAGACGTTCGATACAGGGTGAGAAGATTGTACTTATGTTTCTCTCCTCTCTGTCCTGGAGGAGTTTTAATTTATGTAAACCCTTTGACCCATCTGCAAAGTCACAATTTGTATCCTGACACTTTTAAGAGGGACCTAAGGACAGCTACATTAATAATAACAATTATAACAAATAATACGTATGATTAATGAATCATAAATAACAAGGTAAAAGAGAATGAGATTTAGAAAATTAGGACTAGGGAAGGAGAGAGTACAAGCATACTGTAGTCTCTGTGGCCAATACACATTAATAGTGAGTTTCACAATGGCCTTGTGGGGAGACGGGAAAGAAGGATGTCTAATAACAGGAGATGGAGGTTTGTGAAAGAACTTGCGGTCCTTCCATTTAACAGAATATGTGTGAGTCATGTAGTTATTTGAAGTGACATAATTGATAACTAGTTAATGACGCAAACATATTTTACAGTAAAAATACCATACAGGCTTCTATTTATAAGCACTGGCCATGCCCCAGGCACTGTACTCAGCGCTTTGCTCTGATTGAGCCGTCTCACCCAGTCTGTGTGGTCAGTCCTGTGGCTTAAAAGTTCAGGTAGCTGGTAAGTGGATGAGCCAGGAGATGCAGATATTACTCAGCTATAGAACAGTTGGTCCTGAAAGCATATATATGAATTAAAGAAATCGGGTGCAAAGTAGATCAAAATGTGAACTGGTAATTGATGGTTAATGGAAGCACGTTCATTTAAAATTTTCTTCTTTTTGCTTACCTGTATTTTTTATAACTATCCACGGGGAACCTCTGCTATGTTTGTTTATTTAGGCTGCGCTGCATGGCTTGTGGGATCTTAGTTTCCCTGACCCGGGTTCGCACCTGGACCACAGCAGTGAAAGCACCAAGTCCTAACCACCGCACCGCCAGGGAATTCTCTGAATTACTTTTACGATGAAAGATTGTCACTTAAAATTTTTAAGATTGGCACTTAAAAAAATTGTTTTTGAGTCTCCCTGGGCAGCCAGAGCAAGGCAGATTAGGACTAGTTATCTCTTCAAGCACCGTTCTTCCTGGCACTGAGTTATTCTGAATAAGGGAAACAAAAGCAAAAAAGAGGTTATCAGATGTGGCTTTATGTCGTGGAAGATGAGGGATGTGTCAGAGTCCTCAGAAGCATTTTTCTAGTAGTTTTGGAGGGTGTCTATCTTGCCAGTTTATTTAATGTCTTCAGCCTAAAAACATGATTTTAAAGCCAACAGTCAGATATGTGGGTTTCCAGGGGGTTTACCTTGATCCAGAGAGAGAATTTCAAGCAGTGGCTCTCAGATGATTTTTAGCAACGACCTGCTCCACTGAGAGACATGTTGTGCAATATCTCAGTATATAAAATTGATCAACGGAGCCATTCCACTCTCTCCCCAGCCTTCTTCCAGCTGGTTTCCCTCGTGCCCCGCCAGGGCCTTGGGACTTGAACTACACTAGTGGGAGGAGCTGGAGGGGAAGATGTGGAGCATGGCTGTTCTTCCCTCGTCACCCTCAGCTTGGTGTTTAGGAGCTAGGAGAAGGCCCACCACAGAATATCGAGTGAGGGAATCTATCTACAAGGCCAGCTATGAGGCAGGGCCTGGTCTGATTTTCAAAATCTGATAATAAGCGCGTATACTGTCCCTTGCACACACTCCACATATATGCACCATACCTGCCTCCTTTCCTGTACAGCCAGAAAATTCATCAGAGCTGCTGTAGGTATGGAGATTATTGGTGACTGTGATTTTCTTGTGCATATCTTTTTGTATTTTTACACTGTCTACAATAAATGGGTTGTACTTAATTTATTATTTTCTCTTGATTAGGGTGCAATACACATTCTTTTTTTTTTTTTAAAGGAAAATAGAGAAAAGCATAGAAAGTGAAATAAAAGTCATCTGAAATGGCACCAGGAAAAAAGTTATAAAACTACATCACTTTTTCTAGACACACCCTTGGTAGGCTTTGAGTAGCAAGCAATCTGAGGTTCTGTTCTTGGGTTTAGATTGTTTGAACTGCCTTTGTCTGATTGGATGCCATCCTAGCTGTCTTGGCTCTGCTTCTGCAGGCAGAAAACATCATGCTGCTGGAGCTGGACATGCCCAGTCGGACCACCAGAGACTACGAGGGCCCTGCCATTGCCCCCAAGGTCCAGGCCGCATTGGATGCGGCTCTGCAGGATGAAGATGAGATACAGGTGGATGCATCATCCTTTGAAAGCACTGCACATAAGAAAACCAAGGCCAGGTGAGTGACCTTGGGGACCTATGTTTGAACAGTACATGCTTGAACAAGGACAGATAAGGGGAGAGGGTAGCAAAAGTGCTTGTTTATTATGGAACTAAGTGGCAAAGCCCGAGTTAACCTTGGTCTGTCTGCATCCACAGCCCAGGCTCTGAGGCTCAGTTTAAATAACCAACCACTTAATTTGGTGCTCAATTAGAAATCCTGTCTTATTAAATTTGGAATTAGAAGTTTAAGGAAAATAACTGAGCACAAAACCAAAAATGGAAGGCATTTTACCTGCATGCTTAGTTTTTTGTTTTTTTTTTTCCTTCTTACCAATTTAGAGAAGACAGTCAAGATGTTATTTTAATGGAAGAACAATTGCTGAGAATCAGAGTCCCCCCCCTGAGGTGTCCTCCGTCCATTGGTGGGTCATGTTGGCTATCCCAGAGGGTCAGGCTGTGCCAGTTTGTGGTGGTTTTACATTGAAAGTCCATGAGGCAAGGCCACTCTGAGACATAGTGGCCACTGATGGGAAGGGAGGCTTATCTGCATCAGAGACCGTGATGGGATGTGTAATGGACATCTGTGCTTGACTCTTGCAGGCCTAAAAGTGGAAGGAAGTCGGGCTCCTCCTCCTCTTCCTCAGGAACGCCCGCATCTCAACTTTATCCACAGCCTCGGGGGCTAGTTCCAAAGTAAAGCCACTTCCCCCTCTCCCAGGTTACAAACAGCCTTGCCTTCTGGGAGAAGAGACAAGCAAAAACCGGCAGAGAGGACTTGACCCCAAACTCAGAACCATTCCCCTGGGGAGAAGCAATGGCCTCTTTGCCGATGAACCAACTTAATCTGGTTGAACATGCTGGTCGCAAGATGGCAGTCAGCTCCTCTGGGACCTGTCCTTTATTAGCATCTCAGAACTGCCTGGATAAGGTAAAGTGTGATAGCCGGAGTGGAAAGCAAGAGAGTGACCGGTGACCTTGCTTCCCTTCTCCCTTGCCACCTCCTCTCCTTTTCCTTGCCGTCCCATCCTCTCCCCTCTACTTTTCTAGCCTGTTCTTTATACTGGGCTCCTTTCTTGTTGAACAACAATAGGGCAAAATCAGGAGTCACCTCAGCAGACCAAGTCTTTGGAGCCTCAGGATAAAGTGGCAAGGAGTCTGAAAAGCGAAAGTCCTAGAACTTGAGCAGGTGCTCGTTCTTGTAGGTAGAAAATGAGAAATCTCATTTGGAGCCAAGCTTCTGAGGGGCACGGTTCATGCCCCTCAGTAAGAAGTGGATCTGCCTTTGGGATCTGTTGGAGGAGCAGATATTTTCCAAGGAAGCTGCCAACTTCTGCTCCAGAAGGATTCCATGTCAGAAGCAATAGAAGTAACACTTCCTCTGCCTCCTTGGAGAGTTTAGGGAAACAGCTTCTTTAAAACCTCAAAACCATGACCATCTTATCCAAGACGTGAATCTGTAACCTGATGCCATGTCCATATGCCGCGTCACTTTGCTCTTTATTGGTCACCATCTATTCCCATGCACAGTCTCTGAGCGAACCTGCCTGGGCCCATCCTCTGCCTCTAGAGCATGCTCTGCAGTGGGCCTGCATTTTGGGAAAAGGGAGGCTGTCTCTGCCTTCTCTGATGGGACCAGAGCTGGGGGGATGAGACACAGAGTGGCACTTCTGCATCCCCCATTTTGTTCCATCCTTGCATAGAGAGCATTGGGGTGACGAGGTAGGTGCCAAGATGGAGTCATGAGGCTCTGTGCAGTGGCGAAGGAAGACAGGACAGCTGGAGGCAGAGGAATCCTGCCTTCCTCTAGCAGGAAACTCACCTAATCCTAGGACTGGGGCTCCCCCGAGGCAGAGCCCAGGACGGTAGCAAGGCATGGCCGTGTGATGGAATAGTTCAGAGGAGTTAGGAGTTCCTGTTTACATATACTGGTTTGGTTTGTAAGTTTTAGTTCTCTGTATTATTGAAATTCAAAATTTGGCTTTATGTTGGTCATTAGGTGGATGTTACTTATTTCCCCCCACGAGAAGCTCATAAGTGTGTGTGGGTGTGCAAGCACAGTGGTGCCTATGTTCTTTGAATGTGTCGTGTGTGTCTGTAAGAGAGAGAGAGAGAGAGACCAAGAACTTGCCCGACTTTAGAAATACACTAACGTGCAGTTGTTGCCTTTGTCTGTATTAAAGGCCCGCTGAATGACTAATCCAGGCTGGAAGCTCCCACGTGGGTGTCTGAGTCCACGAGCCAAGCCTGAGGGGACAATATGTGTCCCTAGTCGGCCACACCGGCGCACCTTGCTGGCACCGTGCCTCGGGAAGGTGGCGACTCAGTGGGCCTTGAGTTATATTTTAACTCAGCTGCTCAGTTCCCAGGGCACATTTCTGGATCAGAACCCGTGGGAAAGAGGAGGTACCAAGTGCAATGTCTTAGTGTCCTGCAAATGGAGATCTGTCGTCTACCAGCTTATCCCCTGTTTAGTAACCATTCTTTCTGAACCCAGGGCCCTTTTCAGCAATTCCCGGAGCATAATGGAGGCATCCCTCATCTTTCTCGGGATCAAACTCTGTTCTTTATTATTTACTAAGAGTGTCCCTGTTTGAACAGGAACCAAATGATGGGGTGGGTAGCCTAAGATGGTGACCTGCTGGTTACACCTGTCTCTTGCACTACATTTCCTTGAAGCTGATCTGAATTCTGTAGGCTGAACATTTCCATCTAGGAAATCTGAGAATTAAAAATTGCAGATAACCCTGTAGCTGAGTACTGATGTCTCAAGGTGACTATTCTGACCATGGTTGGTTGAATGACCATGGAACTTTTCTAAGAAGGCAAAAGAAGTAAGCCGAGTTGACAGGCGGAGTCATGAAAACAGGCCTGCCTTGTACTCAGCTGTGTTCATCTGGTGGTCTTTGAAATGAAGTAGAAGAACGCCTGGCTGGAGGTTGAGTCTCCGGTGCTTTTCTTCTCTCAAAGTGGATCCGATAAATATTCAAATAGAGTAGAGTGTCCTGCTGCCTGCCACCAGGAAGCTGCTGCTTTGGGCTCTGAATTGAGCCAAAGATGTAGACCTACCAAGATGACTGAGGGACCAGGTTTTTATTGTCTGTAGTCATGCTAGAATGTTTCAAGCCTTCTGAGGGCCTTCACGTCAGCAGCAACGTATGAAATCTGGCAGTGAGGCCCCAGGATCTAATAATCTCATCTGAGAGAAGGAGTTTGAGACAAACGTGCAACCGCCTGCAGGAATGTATCTGGTTTCAGATTTCAAATCCCATGTCTCCCAGGCCCCTGGATTCAGAACTCAAGGCCACAAATCATAGGCATGAAGCACTTTCTTAAGACTCCGCCCTAACGTTGGATGGCTCCCCGTCGAATGCCTGCATGCTGCTTGAAAGGCACCACCCGCATCTCCGCGACCACGGGCGTCAAGAGAGTTGCTCAGCTCCGGCACGGGCCACGCTCTGCCTCTCCTGTGTGACTCTTAGAAGTGCCCCTTCACTGAATGTAGAATCATTGCCAAGTTTGTGAGAAGTGTCCATTCCCTGTCAACATGGGATATCAGTCCAGCCTCACATTTCCCACTGGAGGTTGAGGCTCAGCGCGAACACCACCTTGGGCCATCTCAGCACCATCAGTGGATCAAAATGGGGCTGTTAATACACTCTAAAAGCCATAATCATAATGCTCAGAAGGACCTGGATAAGAACAGCGGGCCTGGCTACTGTCGTTGTACAAGGTTGTGTCTTGTACTGTTTGGAAATCTGCCCTGCCTCCTCCCTGCCCTCGCTTCTTGAATGAAATGCTTCTGAGGTTATTTATGAAAGGAGTGATCCTGGGGCAGGCAGGAGGCAGTGGGCTTTATGGCTCCTTGGAGTTACTATTGATCTTGACCTTCTCTTTGGCTACCTTTAGACAAAGAATATGCCAATACTTGGGGCTCTGAGTTTTATAGTCAATATTTATTTGTATCATCTCTTTGTCTAGGAATGTAAAAGTGACTCTAAACTAAGATGTGTAATAAAAATCAGATTTATTGTACCTCCAGAAAGGTGTCCTCATAAATGACTGATGCTTCTGAGAATGACATGCCGGTGGCCAACACACTGCCAATTTCTTTTAAACATTTGAATTTTTCTAGTGGAAGGAGGGTGGGAGTGGAACATGAAGACTGAGTTGGAATGTTGGCATTTTAAAAATATAAGTAGCAAGGTAAAGGGACATGAAATGAAAGAGTGACAAAAGAATGCTTTTTGTGGTTTTCCATGGAAGTTCCTGAGACAGGCATGAAATTACTTTTAATTTCTGTGTTTTGTTTTTTAATGTTTCTTTACATTTATTATATACTTCAGAATATACATTTTTTAACACAAAAATATTTCATGTTATTTACTATCAAGAAAAAAATTACCAGAAATGAGCGACTCATTGGTCTTATGGTTTCTTATGTGCTCAGGCCTGCTGGAGTGTCCCCCTCCAGGATGGAGCGAGGGGGTATGTACCCTGTGTGAGGAGTGGAAACTAGAAGGAGTTTAGACCCTGGACTCTGAGCTCAGCTTGAATCCTGCTTGTGCCTGTGCTTACTAGCTGTGCAACTATGAGGATTTTAGTTTTTCTCTCTAAACCTTGGTGGGGGGGTGGGGGGCGGGGTCCTTGTCTGTAAAACAGGGTCATAATCACACCTGGAAGGGCCACTGTAAGGATTAGCATTGCATTTAAAGCAACAAATACACAAGTATGTGGATGAAAGCATACATTTTCAAATGTGGTTATTGGGAGTTCCCTGGTGGTCCAATGGTTAGGACTCTGCACTTTCACTCCTGAGGGCCTGAGTTCGATCCCTACTTGGGGAACTAAGATCATACAAACTGTGGTGCGATTCCCTCATACTCCCAAAGTCCCCACCCCACCCCCGCCACTGCCAAATAATAAAATTATTTGGTTATTGTTATGACAGGGCCCTGGGTTCAGAAGACACCATGAGCAATTTGTATCCTAAGAAACTAGAAGCTAGTACTGGGTATATTATGTTCAGAAAACCCTAGGCTTCTATAGAAAAGCAGCTAATCACTTAACAGATACATGTTGAGTATCTCCTCTGTGCCATGCTGTTCCAGGAACTGGATATAGAGATGTGAGCAACATAGTCCCTGCCCACACACAGCTTGTGCTTGCATGGGAGAGGGAGGTGGGGTAAATGCTAACCAAACGCACCTGAATGTATAATAACCAATCATGACAAATGTCGTGACATGATATTATGGGAGAGTAATAGGAGCCTGATTTGGGTTGGGTGAGTAAAGAAGGGAAGGGCTTTCTGAAGAAATGGCATAAAGTGAGATCCAGAGGACAAAGAGTTATCGGGACAGGAATAAAGAAAGAAATTTGTTCAAAGAGGGCACAGCACCTGTGAAAGCCTCATGTAACAGACAACTAGGATTTCACGGGAAGGTATCTGCAGTCCTTTTCTGCCCTCACTAGGGGGAAGCATGCAGAGCTACCATAAAAAAGATAGTATAGGACTTTAAGAATAGGTATATCAACAAGAAATGGAAAGAGCAGAGAGGACAGTGGTTTATGTGATTAGGCAAATGATCCTTAACTCTTTAGAAGATGCCCTCAAACTACATGTGACATCCCTATAGTCCCCTTTCTTTCCCAAAAGAGTTAAAAATCATAGGTTAGCTTAGCCCACATAGTTAACTATTTTAGAATAAAATAAAAACTCATTAGCCAGAAAGCAAGGGTTCAAAGTGTGATTTGAAGAATTATGAGTGTGTCCTTGAAAATGATAGAGCTCTGGGTGGGTCAGGGGCTAACCTATCAGGGGAGGTACAGGGCAGGGTTGTTGGGCAACTTGGAAATTCCTGTTGACTCACCAGGTTGTCTTCTCATCTTCTGGATTGTTTTAAGGAGAAAAAAAAAATCAAGAAACTACTTAAACCTCGTGTGACAGAGTAAGAAGTATGTAGTTGGTCTTCATTCCCCCCAAAACTTCTGCCAACCCCTGAAATTTCTCTAATGGTCAGAGTAACTTCTGGTGTTTCTAACAAGCCCCTTTCAGCCACATCAGAGCTTAGACTAACAAAGTGACCTATGGATAGCTTCGGGGTGGAGGTTGGTTGCCAGAGGAACCGATCATGTGATTAGTGTTGGAACTTTCAGCACCCCTCCTGACCTCTGGGGAGGGGAGAGGAACTGGAGATTGAGTTAATCACTGATAGTCAATGATTCAGTCATTCCGGCCTGCCTAATGGAACCCATCCATAAAAGCACCTGAACGATGGGTGTTTGGAGCACTTCCAGGGTGGTGAACTCACGAAGGTGCTGGAAGGACAGCGTGCCCAAAGAGGGCCAGGAGGCTCCATGGCCCTCCCCTGAGCTTGCACTGTGCAATTCTTCCATTTGGACGTTCCTGAGTTGCATCAGTAAAACAGTAATAGTAGCTAAAGTGCGTTCCTGAGTTTCTGTGAGCCATTCATTCTAGTAATTATTTAACCTGAGGAAAGGATTGTGGAAGTTATAGCTGGTTGGTCAGAGGTCCAAGTGGCAACCTGGAACATTGGATTAGCCTCTGAAGCGGGGGGCAGTCTTGTGGGACCAAGTCCTTAAATACTGGGAGTTAGTGTCAGTATTGAAAACTGATTTGTAGGACACCCATTTCGTGTCTGGACAGTCAGAGACTTATTGGGTGGAGGAGGGAAAAAAACCCTTGCATTTCATTGTCAGAAGTACTGTGACTAAAAACAGTTGACCTTGGAAACTTTTGAACTTCATGCTGACAGTCTGTCTCAGGGCGTGTGATTTTGGCAGGCCCTCTTGTACTAGAGTTGCCATCTGATTGAAGTTTACCCTAAGAATCTGGTCTCCGAGGACCATGCGGTGGTCACATCTGCCAACGGGGTTGTCAGTGGCGTTTACCGAGGACGTAACCGTAGCTCTCGCAGCTGCTCCTGCTTCATCCTCTGTTTCTGTCGGCAGTCTGTGGTTAACCATCCCCGGGTGCTTTAGTTAGGCGAGCTGAGTGGGGAATGGCTTTGGGGGTGGGGAGCGGGCAGACAGAGAGGTGGCTCACCCGCATGGCTGGGGACAGTACCACCCACAGGAACTTGCTGAATGCTCGCGAGTGCCAGGTGTCTCGCTCTGCCCTGGAGACAGAGAGGAGTCACATGTACTCCAGCCCTTCTGAGGCGGGGAGAGAGAGAAACAGGATGAGAGGAGCAAGTCTCAGAATGGTGATTCAGGGTGGTTAGGACCTTCTAGAAGGCCGGTCTCCTCCCCTCATGCCGCTCTCCCAGCCCTCCTTTTGGTGCTCGGTAATGCCAGGCGCTTACAGGCCATGACATCTTCACGTGTGCTATGCCCTGTTTCTGGTAATTTCTCCCCACTTCTGCTTGGTTCACTCATACTCATCTTTCAGGTACTCATTTAATGCCATCTCTTCTAAGAAGCCCTCCCCAACCACCCATTCTGGCTTCCCCCGTCTCTACCTGGCTGTGCAGTGTCTCTCACTGAACTGTGTTTCCTTCTAAGCCCTTTCCCCAGCTTGCAATGTATTTGTTTGCCTTGGTCTCCCCAACTAGACCCTAAGTCCCCTGAGGGCATGTCGTGTTATCTTCTCCAGCTTGAGGCTTTGATGGATCAAGTGGTAGGGTCAGTGCTGACACCCGCAGCTCAGAACAGAGTGTTTTCTGTCAGAGGAAAGGGTGGTAGGACAGGAGAGGTGGAAAAAGACTTCACAGAGGGGGGTGCTCCTGCAGAATGGGCAGGGTAGCACCCTGCTCCTAGGAGGAGGGAAGGGCATGGCAGACAAAGACAACAACATGAATAAGGACAGGGAGGGTGTGCTGGAGTGAGGGAGCAGACCGTGAGAAGGGGCTCAACTCCACGGCACAGCCTGTAGATAGATGGGCGGCCCTTGGAGGCTTTTTTGGGGGATGTTGTGTGTGTGTGAGGGAGTGATGTCAGGTCCCACTTACACTCCAGGCGTTTTCTCCTTAAGCCAGCCTCTCATGCTCCTGTCTCCCCGAGATAACAGGAAGCAGTTTCACCAAGTACTGCTTTAAGTGTGCCTGCTGTTCACCCAGGTTTTCTGGGCTCAGTTGGCAAACTCCATTCTGCAAGGAGCTTCCCCTGGCATGGCTCACAACCCAAGAATTTCCAAGGGTTGACTGTGACTCGGTTCCCTTGGAAATGGGGCTGAGGCATTTTTCAAAGCAGTAGAATGGAAGGTGGTACCTTTGCTACATTTAGGAACAGAGAAATTAAACTTCTGCCATTGGTTTTGAAATTTATCTTCTTTGGCTAGTGACCAAAAGATTTACCAAATGCTGTTCAACACTCTATTGCCAGATTTCAAGGGCTACATACAACTCAGGGCCCTGACCTTCCGGAGCTCCCAGTCTGGTAGGGAATTATAATCCCACACAAATACATACATTTCAAAGTGATCAGTGGCTCAGATACGGCACTCACAGGGTGCAGTGAGGGGGTTGTAGACGTTACAGTGCATGGTGTGTTAAACGTGGTGATGAGTCTTCTTTGCTTGATCTGGGGCAGTGAGAGGAGCCAGCACTTTGGTGTCAGATTCTTTCTCATTTTTTGAGTGTCTGCTATGTGGGGGCATTGTTCTAGTCGCAGGGATCCAGGAAGAAGCTCCTGCTCCCAGGGATGGCATGTTCTAGTGGGGGAGACAGGTGGTTCACCAAAAGTGTGGACTTTTGGTTAACCAAAGGTGCCCTGAAGGACAGGCAGGGCAGGGGTGAGAGAGAGACGAGCAGGGGTTCGTGGCTGGCTCAGGCTGGGAGGTCAGCCAGGGCTTCTCTGCAAAATGTTTTCCATTCGAACAGAGCCCCAAGTGAAAATGGGGAACAAGCATGGGTTTCTGGTACCAGGACCAAGAGTATTCCAGGGAAGAGGAACCAAGGTACCGAGGCCTGGAGGCTGGGGTGTGTTTGAGGACAAGTGTGGTCGGCAGGCAGGGACAGGTGGCGGGGGGCCAATGCTGAATTGTAAATGAATTTTATTTTTAGACCACTGGAAGCTTTTAAGCAAAAGAGGGAAATCTGACAGGAATGCTTTAATAGGATCCCTCTGGCTGCTCTGTGGAGAACAGGGGAGAGAGAGCAAGGGAGAGGAAGGAGACTGCTTAGAAGGGGTGTGGTGGTTTGGAGAAGAGGTGGTGGCTTGGACCAGGCAGTGGGAGCCAGTGGGGAGAAGTGGGAACACGTCTTAGCATACACGCTGATTGCTGATAATTGTATGTGAGAAGTGAGAGACAAAGAAGAGGCAACAGTGGTTCCAAAGTGTTCCAAAGTTTTTGATCTGAAACTGGTGGAAATTCCACCCCTGCCACTTCCTTCCATGCCCCCCGCCACCTTTAAGATAAAAGGCGTTATTAAGATATAATCCCCCTACCATGCATTTTACCCATTAAAGTGTATATAATTCATTGGTTTTTAGTATATTCACAGTTGTGTAATCATCAACCCCTATCAATTTTAAAACATTTTCATTACCCCCAAAATACCCATTAACTGCCACTCCCCGTTTCCTCCCCACCACACAAGCTGCAGGCAACCACTAATCGACTTTGTCTCATCTGTCCGGTGCTCAGAACTCCAGTTTCCTTCTCTGTAACTTCACAGGGTGATTGTGGGGTGGAAAGGAGAGCATGAAGAGAAACGGGACAGCATGCCTAATAGTTGCCAGGCAGAGTGGCCTTGGCCTTCATAAGTGCTCTGGAAATCCCAGCTCTCCCCCACTGCTCGCCATCTTGCTGAGGCATTGTGGCCAGGGGTGAAAAGCATGGGCACTGGGCCCAGACTGTCGGATTCTGACTTCTGAACTCACCACTGACAGGTTGTATGATTATTGCAAAGGTTTTTAACCTCCCTGGGGCTTCAGATTCCTCCACTGCCATAAAGGCATCATAGCAAGTACTTCTTAAGTTGCTCAGAGGCAAACCATGTGAAGCACTGGGAAGAGTGCCTGGTGTGTAGTATTAAGTGCTCAGGGAGGCGTCAGTGTCGCAAGGCTGTTATCATTATTGAGGAGCAGGCAGGTGGTGGCTCCCAACATTGAGGCCAACTGGACATTTCTGAGTCCAGGTAGTTGCAGTGGTAATGGAGAGAGAGATCATAGATGTATTTTTAATCTTGTCCTCTGTGGGATCTCTACTTTTGGAAAAGTCTGAGCCTCAGGTTGCCCATCTGTAAAATGGGGGCGAAAGAGCTTACCTCGTGGGGCTCTGTGGAGGATTCAGTAACCTGTTCAGTACTAAGCACTGTTTTGAATACAACAGGGAAAAAACCCTGCTTCCCTGGAGCTTGTGTGGAGCTAGTAGAGAGAGACAGCAAGTAAATATTAATCATAAAGACAATAGTAATCATAATACATTAAAAATACATGAATAAGAAAGCAGAGATGTAGAGCACCTGGCGCCTGGCATGAGGCAAGCCTTCTATCAACGGAAGCTGTTGTGATTATTGTAGGAAAGCACTTTGAAACCGTGGACAGCACTGTATTGAGGTCGGTCTCCAGGTGACTGCAAGCAAGTTGCCTTCATCCAAGCCTACCCTCATCTCTGCTCAATTAAATTTCACTCAGCCTCCAAGGCCCCTTTCGAGTTGCCTGGTTGAAATCTGTCTCTCGTGGCAGAGTGTTCTTTTTTCCTCCCTTCAGCTGGCATTAACTGAATGCCACTCTGGGCCAGTCCCAATGCTTGGTTTTTGTGATGAAAAACCTGAGAGAGGTGTGGTCAGCAGCGTGAATGGAGAGGCCCACAGCACTCTGCGCTACACTGTTGAAGCCTGGCTGCCTTGGTTTTAGTCTGCCAGGGGAGAGCCCAAGGCTTCTGAATTCAGTGATCAAATTAGCAGATAAATTAAGACTTCTCAACATTCTTGTTTAAATACTTCATTGTAAAAGTAAACATCTGCATTATGGTCAAATGCATAATCTCTATTTAAGCAATAAGTGTGAAAGTGTTAGTTGCTAAGTCGTGTCCAAGTCTTTGTGACCCCTGTAACCCACTAGGTTCCTCTGTCCATGGAATTCTCCAGGCAAGAATACTGGAGTGGGTAGCTATTCCCTTCTCTGGGGGATCTTCCTGACCTCGGGATCGAAGGGTCTCCTGCAGGCAGATTCTTTACCATCTGAGCCCCCAGTGAAGCCCCATTTAGGCACTATGATCTAACCAAAGAGCTACAAGATAAGAGATGTAAGGACCTGTGGAGGAGCAAAGACTTCAGGGCAAATAATTTCTCACGGTGTAGACAGTATTCTACTAGATAAGCAGGAAATGTGGCAAACTGGAGCAGAGAGGTTTTGGAGCTGGGCTTCCCAGGCAGCGCAGGGATAAAGAATCCACTGGCCAATGCAGGAAATGCAAGAGACGAGGGTTTGAACCCTGTGACGGGAAGATCCCCTGGAGCAGGAAATGGCAACCCACTCCAGTATTCTTGCCTGGAAAATTCCATGGACAAGGAGCCTGGTGGGCTGTAGTCCACGGGGTTGCAAAGAGTCAGACATGACTGAGTGAGCACGGCACAGCAGCAGCAGCAAACCTGGGTTAGCACGTTCTACCTGCAGCAAGCTACTGCACTTTGGTAGGAGGGCTAATACCTACCCTGCTTCTCTCAGAGTTTGCTGGACGGCTAAAGAAAACATCCATCAAGCACCCGGCACTTAATAGACACACAATGGTGGTTTAGTCACCAAGTCGTGACTACGCCCACCAGGCTCATCTGTCCAAGGGATTTCCCAGGCAAGAATACTGAAGTGGATTGCCATTTCTTTCTCCAGGGCATCTTTCTGACCCAGGAACTAAACCCCAGTCTCCTGCATTGCAGGCAGATTCAAGAGGCAAATGTTATTTAAAATATTAATAACTTAATTATTAGTAACAGTGTAGCATTATGAAAAGAGCTCTTGTGTCAGCCAGACTTGTGTTCAGATCCTGACATTCTCATTTCAAGTTGCTTAAACTTTCTGAG